CACTGTTTTTGTTAGAGTCACCTTAATCATAAATTGTAAACACCAAGGTAGTGCTTTGCAACTGGTTTAATTAACTAAAATGTATTTCGAGTGTGATGGATTGGAAACAGGTCAATTTATCAAAACATTCAAACTTAAAAATTTTCTGGTTCACTAGCAAGGCTAATATAATTTGTAAGTAACTAGAGATGATTGTTTTTGCATGTCTACCCACACCTTGGAAGTTTTAGAATTAGTAGCTCTCAGCCTCTACATCTACTTTATTTGGAAGAGGAAAGAAAATTTGTATTATTCCAAATTCTGAGTTGTTTCAGAGCTCCACATGAACAGCTTACTGAGATGAAATAGTTCACCTGAAATGAAGGAAAAGCTCTCGCTGAACCTGTGGAAGAGAATGCCTCTAAAAGGTCTGGTATTTCTACTAAACGAAGTGGTGTTTGGCCATCTTTTGTACAGTGAATGCCAACAAAGGCATGACCTGGGGTATGGGTGGAGGGAGATGATGGAGTCTTTCCTCAAAGATGGTCCATGTAGCAGAATGGGAGTAATCTAGTTCTGCAACAGCTTACCCTGACTGACACGTGCCCACCACCCTGAGGCCTTTGCCTGACACCTCTCCTACCTTACCTCGACCCCATTTTCGAGTTGCCCAACCCATGACCCTATTACTTCCCCCCCCCCTTACACATGGCCGTACAATGCCCCTTCTTCCCTGCCCCACCCCAAGCCTCCACCTGCTGCCCCATGCTGTCCCTGCTTTGCCCTATAACCAGCAACTGTACCAGCTGCCCAGGTCCATGCCTGCTGCCCCACCACCTCCACCAGCTGTAAAGACCCCTGCCTGCTGTCCCCAGCCAGCTGCTGGGCCACCCTCCCCTGCTTGACACCCTACCATGGCTCTGCTCGCACCCCACTGAGCCCCTGTCTGCCACCACACCAGATGCCCCAGACCTTACTTTCCACTCCAATACCTCCACCTTACTTTCTCCTCCAATAGTTTCACACAACCCTGCCAACTCCTCACCTGCTGCCCAGGACCATGTTACTTTCCCCACCAGCTGCCCAAGCCTCTGCTTAGGGCTGCACAAGGCCCTGTCTTTACCCCTGCCTGCTGCAGGCAGCTACTCCTGTAGCTACCTGCTCTTCTGTCCCATCTCCCCAACCCTACTCCGCTCCCTGCTGTCCTGCCTTCCCCACCAGACCTGTCACTATCCCTGCTCTCTCCCAGCCCACCCACCCCACCTCATCATCCTGTCCTGGTCCCTCTACGTCCACCCCCACTACTCCCAGCCTAACCCTGCTGGGTTGTGTTGTTGAGGATATGGAGCCCAGCCATAGTGGCAAACACTTCCCAACACGTTTGCTTACTTCATCTGGGTGGAGGACATGTTTCTACTTGGTTGGGAGTCAGGAGCTCCACCTTGCCAGCATTTCTGACGCGGGAGCCACGCTTCCAACATGACTGTTTCTCAGCCACTGTAGCTTAGTCAGCTTCTTCTCCAAGCTTGTCCTGTCACAACTGCCGTCCCTTTCCCTCTTAGGTTTTCAGCTGCTCACTCTTCTAAAGATAAAGGTTACCAAGAGGGAAGGAGCCAGAGTACCCTGCACCTTACATGCTGCATTACAGCCTATCATTAGAAAATGCTTATCAGTGACCACCACATCCAAACCAGTTTGCCAGAGGAGGAAACAGAAGCAGCAGCTAATGCTAGAGGAAGTACCTCTAGCCTCCAGGATGTCCTGGGCCCTTTTGCTTGTTTCTTGCTGAGTATGGTTCTGATAAACTGTCTCACAACAGCCCTCTTTCTGAAAGACAGGGTAGTTTCTAAGACTTTAAAGATCTGTTGGGGGAACAAACATTTTATATTTGTTACTGTGTTACAGAAAGCAACGAAAATGCAAATATCTTTAGTACAAGCACAACTGTTCGGAACACAAGACACAAATTTCAAGCATGGAAAGATAATCAAAGATCCCTACATCCTTCATGTCTCTTCAAATCATACGGAACAAATGTTTACAGCTAATTCCATATGGCTTTTTATTTTCTTCCAGGGAGAAATTAGATTTCATAGTTGAAGGAATTAAGTTCCATCCAGCAATGAGGGAGGATACCATACCTTGCAATTCTCTAGGTAGGCAGAAATTTGTACACAGCACAGGCCACTCTCTGCACTTTCTGCAGTGAAGGCTCATCCATTCAGCACAACTGAGTGCTTAGTGCAAGCCTGTTCTGACTCAGCTCAAAAGAGTCTGCTCACAGAGGAAGGGCAGCCTGGGCAGTGAAAAGGCAGAGCAACACAAACACATTTGATTCCTGGAACTGTAACCTCGTTTAAAAAAAAAGAAAAAAAGGGTTGAACATTTCATTTGGCATTTGTAATTTCTTTTCCACAAGCGGAAAAAGAAGAGCACTGTGCAGTGGATCTGGACAGGAAGTAGTTTCGCTGTCAAGATTTTTTTTTAGAGTTTGAAATTGTTTTCTATCTCACATTGTAATGAGAGGTCAAAATCTGGAAAACATTTTTTTAAACTTGAGCCAGAGCACTCCAGTAATGAAGTGGCTTATATATGCTGCAGTGTAAGCAGCTGCTCCCTCAAAGGCTGAATACACAGTATTCTGCTTCAGATGAACCAAGGGATGTAACAATTTTATAGGCTTTTTCAAGTCTTATAAGTTTTTCTTTTAACATATACCTTTAACCTTCTATTGCACCCTTACAACTAGGCCATGTGCTTGCCACAGGTCCACAGACAACAAGGCAGAAGGCATGCTATTAGATCACAAGGTGATCCAGTATGTCATTTACTATGCAAGGACATATCTGGAGACATCAAGTTCCCAAATTTAACAGAATATTTTTTTCAGCTAATTACTTTAGATAGAAGACTATGTGTTTTTCCCCATATCAAGAAAACAAAATTTTAACTATTATAAGTGTTTATAATTTTGTTTAATAAATGTTTAATAAATCTCGTAGGAGTTTACTATTTATTTCATAATTTCTATTTAATATATTTAATATATCTTCCTGTATTTTTAATACTGTTTATTAACAAACAGGTGTTGCAAGGTACAGTTTATAGAACATAAGGTTCTAATATTTAAATGAAATTACATATTGCGGTAAGTTCTGTTGTCTCTACTCATTTCTTGGTGTGCACTCATGGTGCAACTTTGTCAAACGCAAAGGTTGTTTTGTTGGTGTTTCTACAGGTAGTACTGGAAGTACTTGGCCTTTTTTCTAAGCCACACTAAGTGTAGACTGCAGTCACTCCGTGTGGCTTCAGCTGATATTCTCTGGGCTCTCGGTGGTCACAGTGTTAGAGCCGATGTGGATTAGAAACTTAGTCTCACATGAGCAATGTTATCAGTCCTGGCAGTTCAGGTAATTGCTCAGATTAATTCAAGCGGCAGTTAGTCAAGAAATTTTGCAAAGATCACACAGTGACAATCCGAGAAAAAGGACTTGCAAATAATGCTTTAAAATAAAGTAGCTGAAATTCCATCTCACCCGTCCTTTTTTCTGGCCTCCAGTACCCCTGTGAGCTCCATGAACTTCAGTGCATTGGAGCTAAAGATTGGATGTTTCCCAGCGTAGGGAAACAAAACCACATGCTGTTACAAAAAGCAGGAGTTCTTACTCCTCCGCTGTGGGAATGACAGGTTTTTTATGTTTTCTATCAAATCTAATATTTTAATTGCAAAGACAGCTTCTCTAAGCTATGTTGTACTAACTCCTAACTTCATGCTAGTTACTCCTACGGTCAGGGCAAGTACCTACCCTGTAATGCCTGAAAAATTTCCTAAAGTGGGGTGGATACTCCTCCTTTCCCCCACATCAGAGCAGACATCTCAACAGAAAGATTCCAGCCCCAATTCTTCCTTTATCTAACCCAAGCTCGTATCTCCTTCAGATGTCGCATGTCATGGCAAGATTGCCTTTAAGCTGACTCACCAGCGGCACTAACATGCACTAGCCTGTCCAAAAGGGAGTTGGTGGAAGGTGTAAGTAGGCATCCTGTTCACGGGGAATGTAGCCAGATACCCATGGTGGAGTAATGGCTGGTAAAGGCACCTTTTCCTAACTTCAGACTGTTACTACAAGATATTTGTTACTTTATGGGTTTGGGTAGAATTCAGTGGATAGATCAACTGGGAGTGATGAGCATCATGCAAATTTTCTCTTTCTGCTGGGCTCTCTGTAGTGAACAGGGACATAACGAAGTGAGTAGCTTAGCACAGCACTTCCCTTTGGAGCTCCAGACCATACAAGGCGAAGGACGTGATCAACTTTCTTCACATTTGGGTAAGATAACCTGAAACGATACTAAACTTGTAGAGATATGTTGGATCTCATCCTTTGTGGCATTTCCTACTCTATGATTATCCAGGCTAAGAAAAAATACGTAGCTATAAATATATATGTATATATATGCAGTGCAAGAGCACTTCTACTTTTTGATCTTTTCTATGTGTCACTGTTCCATAAACATGGATTTGTTTCAGTAGAAAGAAAGAAATGGGAAATTTCCAGTTCAGGGAACACTTGTCAGCACTAGGCATGTTTTTCTGGTCTGTAAATAGAAGGGTTTTCTTTTTTGTTGTCGTTCTCTTTGCTGCTGTAATGACTTCCGTGTTATGCTGCAGCTGTAATACATTTGGCATAAAGCAGACTGTGCTCTTTGCCAGAAAGGGTTCATGGCTTTAAAAAGAGAGATCCTCAGATGATAAAATAACAGAGACACCTTGTTTAGAACTACAGTATATCTGTAGCTTAATTTTGTATACTATGATTGTCTTTACTGAGTAAGTCACACAACCTCATTTATTTAAGCAGTATTAAGCACATGCTTTGTAACCAGATATTACTATAAAATTTTTTAAAACATATAGAGGACAATGAGTCTTAATATATTCACTATTATAGTTTCTATAGTTGGTATGTTTATTAATAGTAGAAATAAAAGTAACCATGATCTTCTTTTAGGGAAATATAATGGAGAAGAAAACAATTCTAGAAGAACTTCTTTTAAAGAAGTCACAACAGAAGAAAAAAATATCACCAATTAATTACAAGGAGAGGTTGTTTGTTCTGACAAAAGCAAACCTTTCTTATTATGAATATGACAAAGGGGTAAGAAATAATTTTTTTTAAGTAAACTGTTCTAAGATTTTCCAGTGTCATCTTATTTCTCTGGTTTTCTTCTGTGAAACTTGATAAGACATTATGTGTTAGGACAACAGGTGTACTTGGTTTCGAGTAGAATTATAGGGTATCAAATCCTAGTTTTAGTTCAGGAAAACACTTAGCTGCAGGCTTAAGACTGTCTCTATTCAGAATAACTCTTACAGTTGTGCTTACCATTGAGCATCTGTTCGTGTTCTTCCAAAGAGAACTTAAGCAAGTAATTAACATTGGCATATGTTTACACATTGTCTTGAATAGGGATGTTTTCCTTGTTCAGTCTTCCCTCTGAACTGATGTAAATAACTGGCTTCAGAAGTTACTTGTATGAGGCATAATTAGTTCAGAATCTCATCCCCCAGCTGCACAAAGCAGATGGTTAAAGTGTCCTTGTTTCCTAAGGAGTGACTGTATATTACAAAAGGGTGGCTTTTCACTCAGAAGACCTCCCATCAGGAATGCAAATATATGTCCCAGGCAACTTACTTTAAAGTTTTTGCTCCTTTTCATACATTTGACCTCCTGTGACTTACTTCCCATTACAAAACTGCAGGGAAGCTCAGTGAGAATAAGATCCATTACCTTAATAAAATTATGAATGCCACAGCTAGGCTTCTGGTTTGCACTTAAGGTATTTTCCTCTTATTTTCTCCTTCTTTTCCTCCTAGTCCCCCCTTCTGCCCTGTACTCCTGCAGTTGCAGCAGATGCTTTCTCAGATGTAGGGCTGTGTCCTGTAATTCTTGTAACTGACTTAAAAAGGAATTCAATCAATATATTAGATGCAGGTAGGGCACCAAGGAGGTTTTTTACTACCTTTCTTTTAAAGTTTAACAAACCTGAAGCTATGGCTTATACAGCTTGAAATATGAAATTGTAAAAAATTGTTAAACTAGAATACTTTATGTTGTATTAACGTTCATTTACAGTCTGCTATGTTTTTTCTCTCTTAGAAAAAAGGAAGCAAAAGGGGGTCAATCGAGATTGAGAAAATCCGATGTGTTGAGACAGTGAATCTTGAGGAATCAACACCTCCTGCGAGACAATATCCTTTTCAGGTTAGCCATGAAATCTGTTTTATTTACATTTCATGTGATATATGCCAGTCAGCATCCTAAGGTTACACTTAGTGTTCCTGTCCTAAGTGGTGATGCCTGATATTGCTGAGTGCTACTGATATTTATAGCAAATAGAAAATCAGTCCCTATCACTGAAGTTGTGACTTTGCTGAAATATTTTTAATTGACTGATAGAATTTAGATCGTCTTGTTTCTTTTATGTTCAAACTTCTATCAGATATTTGCTTTAATATTATCTGGAATATATAGATCACCACACTATGTGATTATCACTTATTTTAAGGCAGAATTAAGCAGTTAAAAATTCTTATTTTAATTCTATCTCTTTCCAAATTTCAGTTAAGTGGGGAAAAGAGCGTGTGCTATAGTTACAGAAGGGGGAACTCTGTTCTGGGAAACAGTGTCTCAAAAGAGGACTTTAGGATCATGATAGCTGAAGGTAAATTCCCAGGGTGATGCTGTGGCCAAAGGAGCTAATGGCATCCTTGGACGTGGAAGCAGGCACGTATTGAGTAAAAGCACTCAATATGTTTTGACACTACTGTGATCACCAGGAGAATATTGTGTCTAGTTCTGGTGACTATAATTGAAGAAAGATGTTGTAAACTAAGGAGAGGTCAAAGGAGAGACTTGACAATGACTAATAGATTGGATGGATAACATGTTAAAGAGGAAAGCTCACAGGGCTCCACCATTTAACTAAATAGAGACAGGAAGCAAATTGATCAGTCGTGTATACTTACCAGTGGGAGTACACATTTAATGATGAGGGCTTTTCAGTCTAACAAACAAAAGCAATAAAATGGTGTTTCAAATTCAGCGCAGATGACTGAAAAGCAATGTACACAAGGGAAATGAAACCCTGACCTAACACAGACACACACACACACACACACAGAGTGAGCCCAGTACTAAACATGATCCAAAAAGCAAAGCAGATGTTAGTAATTATTAGGTAGGCATCAAACAAAGGTAGCAGAAGATAGGCTGAAAACAAGCAAAAGCAGCTGACTATTCATATTGTGTAGCTAAGCTGTGAGACTACTTACTGCAGGACATTGTAGATACTAGTTATTTGCTTAAAAAGGCAACTGAATGAATTCACCGAAGAAAAATACCTCTCAAAGGGTATTAAGTATAAATGCGTCACCTTTGGATCAGGATTTCCTGATCACTGTACAGCTGCCCTGAGCATATACTCTGCCTCAGTGTTTGTTACTGGACACTGTCAGAGACGGGTTCCTGGCCTCGGTGAGCATTCGGTCTGACCTTGTGTAACATGAGCCAAAAGCTGGAAGATGAATCTGGAAAAACTGAAGTGGAAAGAAGGAGTTTACACATGGGCTATAAGGTCATTTGTACATAGAAAATGGGAATATCCAGAAATACTCGATCCTGTCCTTTGTTTCTACAACTGTGCTTTAGGACATGAACCACTTTGGTTAAGGTAGTATATATTTATTTTTGTGTATATATATGTATATATTTATATTTACTTATATGAAATATGAAGTATTTATATGAAATGGCAATAATGTATGTGACCTCTGAGAAACATTACTAAGTTGTGAAAGTTCAATGTGGGTCCAGAAAGCCTATTTTTTTGGTTCCTATCCCCTTCTCCTTTTCCTTCCTGCACAGTAGCATATTTTCAGGCAGTACACTCTCACCATGCTGGCTTTGCCAACCTCTTCCAGATTGTGTACAAGGGTGGCCTTCTCTACATCTATGCCAGTAGTGAAGAGAGCCGGGAGCGGTGGCTTTCAGCTTTGCATAAAGGTAACACTATTCCTTTGTGTACCAAAATACTCAAATAACATGAGGAGAGATAGGAAAATGCTCCTGCCCCATCATTTTGTGCAATTCTTTGTCACCTGTTTTTAGTCTCATTCATACTTCAGCACCAACTGGTTGAAATGCATAGTATTTTCAAGAATGGATTAGAAATTTTAAAGGCTGAAAGTTTTAGTACAAAATAAGCCAAAATAAAGCTATTTTTATGTTTTTCATGGGCATTTTTTAATCTTCCTTTAATCTTTTAATCAGCCTTTACCAATGGAGGTTAATAGAGCACAACCATTCCTGATGTGGCTAGTATAGCGCTTACCTGCCTGAACACCATTTTGATAACCAATACTGCTAGTGCTTTTTCCTTTGCATTTTCCTCTCTTTTTTTCAAGGAAATTTCTATTGTATTCAATGAAGCAAAATCACAGTCATGCAAAGCATAAGTTATAAGCGGAAAACTGTGTCCCTGCATAACTCCAGTGAAGGTAAAAACCTCACATTGAATAGGGCAGCCCTCACACATGCTGGCCATTGTAGGAACAAAAAAAGGCAATCTCTAATGGGCTGTGAACAAATATCCTCCCCAATTTAACTTGTAAGCCCATGTATAAGGTACCTCTCTGTTTGCGACTCCCTTTGCATGCACAGAGTATGTCAATTAATTTGCTAGTGCTATGGAGAATGTGGACCAGAAGCAGAATGGGAAGCATTCAGCAATCTAACTATGTTGAGCCTCCTAGAAACCAAGATTTTCAGTAAGGTCTTTTAAAACAAAATTTGTGAAGAATAAGGTTGTGTAACTGATATCTTTTGTAATGCTCTTGAGACAAATAGCATAAATATTCAACTGCCTACAAGCCTCTTAAAAAGCATATAAAAACCACTTGTTGCCAAGGGTTGCCCTGATCCTTTTGTTGCTCTCTCACATGCTCAGGAATCTTGGGTTTACCATGGCTTCCCGCAGCAGGACTGAGAAAGCCAGTCCTGAAACAATCAGTTTTTAAAGTCTCACTCTACACTTCTACACATCTTTTAGATACAGAACTAATGTATTGCTAGCACAGTGATACTACTGGGCCCATTTCTCTAGACTAAACCAGTGCTTTGAATATAAAGTAGGTATTTCTGTGACAGTGTTCCCTTTTGGTGTGCTTAAATAAGAAATGTATTTTGACGGATAAATGTTAGCTTGGATTTGCCATATGGGTATTGAGAATCTTTTCTGATACTGAATATCAGTGAATATAATTTTCTTACAATAGATAGTTCTTCTTTTAATTAGTTTTATTATTGATAGTGAAATCTTTGTAAGACCCATGATTTTGAATCATAGCTGTTGGATCCTCTTTTGGCTTCCAGTGTTTTGTTGGATTGTACTGTATCTCCTTCTTGACATTCAGGTTTCTTTCTCAAAGAAGCAGGTAGCTGGGGGTGTGTGGATTTCAGACTTGGGTTTGCATAGGGGAATATGGTATAGAGATAAAAACGTGACCAGGATGCGTACCTAGAGCTAGGAGTTGATAAGCACTCTGGGGTCCCACGATTTAGTGCAGAAGACTCTATTGATTATAAGGAACATTCCCATTTGCAGCCTGTCATGTTCTCTTTGGTTTCTTTGTGCTTTCCAGAAATTAAAGACAATTCTGATTTACTAAACAAGTACCATAAAGGATTCTTCATCAACGGGAAGTTTCTCTGTTGCAACCAGACCTGTAAAGCAGCCCCTGGATGTACAATTTGGGAGAAACGTAATGTGTCTTTTATTTGTTTGATTAGTTTCATGGATGTTTTTCACAATATTGCCAAATCACATGGACATTTAAGGCAGTGTAACCAATATAAAAGCTAATTTACTTACACCTTTTCATGTATGTGCTAAGCTCCTTTTAACATCATAGCTGCTATACATTGTAGCTTATAGTATAACTGGGGAAATAATACACTAAATTATATCAGCTGTGTTTGATCAAAAAGTTAGTGACATTTTTACCTACAAAATAAACCAGGTGGAATTATTTTTCTACTTATTCTTAAGATCTTTAGCTAAATTGTAGCATTATGCTGTAAGACCCTTCTAGTGCTGAGGTCCCATGAGCTGAATGGGTAGGAACAATAGAAGTTCAGCACAAGAGTGTATACAAATGAGTGCAAAACAATACTGTTTCATAGCTAAATAGAAGTAAAACTATTATATTTTTATATAATTATTTTATATGATTTTTTTTCCTAAACAGTGTGATTTAACTTGTAGCAGGTTTTTTTTTTATTTATTTTAATATGCTTTTCTAAAGTATATTTTTTTAGAACTTAGTCACAATCATTCAGGGGTTTTAGGTTTTTTCTGTAAAGATTAAAAAAGGAAAATTCGTAAAGCAGTACCATCCTAGGTTTCACATTTTCAGAAGGGAATTCCTGCATGTCTGTGCACATGCTTAACTGTGAAAGGCCACGTTTGGGAGAGGGAAGAGCAGTTTATAAGTATTTGGGCTTCAGCCTTTTAAAGCTTGATTATTTGGAATTGCAGAGCACTGGTAGATCTATTGATTTCAATCATGATTGAACCTTGGTCTTAAGCATTTACAGTCACAATCAAAAAAGTATGAACCCAAAATTAAAAGTTAAATCCAAAAATGTAGGTATCAGCAGTTAGGAACATTATTTAGATCTGTGAGACTGCCTGTAACAGTAAAGCATTTGCTTTTGAAAATTGAAATTAATGATATATGCTTATCTACTATTACTGTAGGTTTCACCATTGTAGAACACTAAATGTCATCTCATTTGTAACAGTAATTTGAATAGCATCATCTAGCTTCAAAACCACTTGTTACAAAAGCAAATAAGGCCATGAAACCCCTGGTCAGTGGCAAAGACAAGGAAATACCTCCTTACCAGTCATGGATGGCTTAGCCAAGAGAAGAATTAAAAAGAGAATTTTTGTATACTGAATGCTTCATTTATGCCCGAGATAATAATGCATGCAGGATAATGTGCTGTATGTACTCTAAATTTGTTCCTAAGTAAGTTCCTGAGGTCACTAACAGAGATGTGCGGAGCACAGGAAGACTGTCTGTGTATTTGTATTTTGGCATAGATGAAAACCATGATTGACGGGGTTTTTAAAGATACTGAGATGGTGCTTGAATTAAGAGAAAGTTGGAAAATACAGAGTTAAAGCATGTCGATGCCTCAGGGAGGTGAAATGTCAGCTGTCGTGATGCTGTTGCTGCCACTGTATAGATCTGCAAATAAGAAAGCCTCAGGAGATAAAGCCTTACTTAAATACATGTTTTTTTTCTTTATTTGTCCCTCTCTTCTAGATGTGACTCTGTGTTGCACAACTGGGTCTGTGAAACCACTGCCTCCAGTCCCTCAAATGCTGGTAGGTGAAAGAGCCGGCATCCAGATGGTAGGGAGGGTCGTGGGCTGGGATGGAGAACTGCAAACAGCCATTCACTAGAAGCTGGTGTAGACCTCTAATCTGCAGTGCAGCTTCAGCATTCTTGTGTCCACCAGCATGTCAGAGGGAAGGATTCATCTCCCTCTTCCATGTGCTGTAAATGGCAAACTGGGAAAGTCTCAGCCACGTCCAATTCACTTTAACGTGCTGGTGGCTGTACTGGCTACAGCCTTTTTAGGGATATCTTTTACTTTATACACTTATTTCCAGTGGGATCAGGGAGTGCCATCAAAATTAGCTCTCTAGTGTATAGGAGGTCCCCATTCCTAGAGATGCCAAAATCTCCTCTCCACCACCCTCCCCAGTGAAAATGGTGCTCATAGTACTTGGAGAAAACATTGTTACTGAAGATGTAAACAAATATACCTGCTTTGCATGGGTGAGAAATGGTGGATGAACTGCATTTATCTCAGGCAAGTCCCAAGTTGTGCTGCTCTGGGGTTGGGTCAGGACTATGGACAGCTGGTTAGGAATGTCCCTTTAGCCCAACTTTACGGACACAGCCTCGAAGTTAATGAATTGGGAAGTGCATTGGAGCTCTTTAAGAGCTCTTGCCTATGTCTTGGCTTTATATAGAACAGAAAACCATGAGTGTGGTGTCCCACCAGCACCCACTGGGCTTTGCTGTCTGTCTGAGAAAGCCAGGCTTTCACAGATGCACAGAGGAAAACAGGACACCAGGATGCCAAAAAGCACTGCTTGTGCTCAATTCTGCTTGAGTCCTCTAGCAGTTGCTAGATGAAGAAGGGCAATCGTTAGCAAGGTTAAGAGTAAAAGCAGGACTGGAAGATCTGCTTCTGTGCTTATTTCCTCATCTGCTTCCTCCTGTACAAATACAAGGGCAATAGTGGTATCTTTGACCTTAGTTTTATTGCCCAGCCTAATTATTGAAGCTTATAGGTGGGAAAGAGGTAACAATGACAACAGAATAGAAAAGAACAAAGTGGCTTAAGTTATGATGTTTTTATCTGCTTAAAAAAGGACTAACAATATGGTCTGTCTGCGTATTCACAGATCGTTACCCCAGTCTCCTCCAAATTAAACCAGATTGGGTTTCAAATAATGGGATTTTTAAATTTGTATTTCCTGCTTTATTTTCATTTGTCTGTAAAATGGAGCTTTAAGAAAAATAATAAAAAACCTTGGAAAGAAGCTATGAACAAAGAACCTTTTGACATTTTTTTCTGATAATGGGATTTGAAAGTAATAGCATTGTGAACATGCAGCAGCATAACTTGTTTTGAATACCATGATCTGTTTTGCCTGGCTTCCATTAGGAGATGCTTTGTCTATCTGGAGAGATCATCAGTCATGCAAATCTGCTGCTGAACATGCTGGCTTCTGCTAGGCCTTTATGATTTATTATTATCATCTGCTTGAGTTCAGAGAAGATACTTTGAAAGGGAAATTTAAAAAGCAGGAACATGACAGTTTTCAGATGGGTACTTCTAAAACAAGTTCCATAAATGCAGATATGACTACCACATCTGGTTAGAGCAACTTGACTTCATTTTCCCAAGCCATATGGTATAATCAGGTTAAGAAGGCTGATACTGGCTTCTCATGGTGAGGAACAGTCTATACTTAGTCACAGAGCTACTTCTATAAGCTCTCAGCACATTTTTTACTTTGCCCTTTTATCTACTCAGTTTGATCATCAGAGGTACCACCGTACTCCCAGCCTTCTTTTCAACTGTCTCAGTCCATGTCCCTCACCTCTCCAGCCTCTGCAAGTCTTGCTCCCTTGCTTTCTTCCCAACTGACCAGAGGCATTACTTTTGCATGTTGGCAAAACAGACCAGAGGCATTACTTTTTGCATGAGGCGTTACTTTTGCATGCTTACATCCTGCAGCTTTGATGCTTCTGTACCTTTCATCAGTTCATCTTTATATGTCTAGCCTCCCAGAGGGGAGCTGGTTCCTAAAGAGTGATGCCATTGCAAAGAATAGTGGGCGCAAAGGTCCCTTCCTGGGAACCAGTGGGCACTTCCCCTGTGCTTTGATAACAGCAGGAAGCAGGAGCTTCCTGCCTGAGAAACACTTTCACCGCTGCTGGTGCCTGGCATCCACTGTCTTTGCAATGGCAAATAGTTCATGTAGGTCAGTAGATCAGATGGAAGTCCATTGAGTGCACGCATGTATTTTCTCATGCTTATGTCTTGGACAAGTTTTATGGAAGCTGAAGTGATCCAGCACTTGCTTCCAGCTGTAGGGTAGGGGTGCAGTTCTGCAGATAGTAACTGTTCCCAGTATGCACATCACAGCTGAATCTCAGACTGTCACCTCTGGCGCTCTCTAGATGACAGTGGCACAGTCATCATTATGAAAACCACAATAATATCACTGCCAGCATAAAGGAAATAGTAAGATCCACTCAGTTACTATTAGGAAATGCTCGGGGGCTTCCAGCCAATGCTGGAAATGGAAAACTGTATATATAGACACAAATCAGGACATTAATCTGTACCAGGTTACAGATTAAGTCCATCCATAATATTGCAACAGACAAATACACATTCAGCAGTGAAACCCAAAGGGATGCAAATCTGATGTGCTCATCTTTGGCCGGTTCTTTTCCCTGGCAGGCTGGACAAAACGAAACTCATCTCTGTGATAATAATTCTTTATACCATTTACTTTGGCCAATGCTTTGCAATTTCTTCTGTTCACACAAAAAGATGAAAGCTCCATCAGAGGATGACACTCTGATCATTCCACAAGCAAAACACAGGAAATTAAGAAAGAACAATTGAATCTCCAAAAATTACCAAGGCCAAATGTCAGAGGTGCACATCAGTTCATAAACACATTTACTGAATATCAGCTTGCTCTGACATCACTAAATGCTTTAAAGAGAAAACAGTTTAATCTCTGTATTATGATTTTCTGCATCTTTCTGACAACTGCAGGCAACTCTAGTTCTGTCATTATTCCACAAACCAAATGGGCAGTCTAAGACTTGAATCCTGCCTAACATAGGCCCTCAAGCTATAAGCTCCTTTCCACCAAAGTCAGGTATGACCAACAGGAACCACCCTTGTTGGGTTCAAGTAGTAGTATTTGATGAGTAACAGACCTACTTCTAGTCAAATGAAGAGGACTCTGCTGTGAGTGATACCTCGTTAAAGAATGAGTATCTCTACCAAAGCTTAGTGAGATCAGATTGAAACTTCGTGTGTTTGCAGGAAGAGATCATGTGTCTTCTGGCTCAGCAGACTCAGTCAGGCATTCACTTGGCTCTTTGGTTTCTCCTTGTTTAAACTAATTTTTAAAAAGTCAATAAAGAGGAAACAAGCAAACATACAATGCCACGGTCACTTGGACCTGACTTAAAGGAATCACAGCCTGCTTCAGGACACTTGGCATTTTTCCCTAGCATTGCATTACAGTGGTTTTCAATTATAAACAGTTGGTATTTGGAGCTGCTTCTCCTAAGTCTTTTTTATTTTCCCTCATCCTTTGCTGTCAGTGTTTCATGTGTAGTTTTCTCTGCTTTTAAAGAATTGTGATGTCTGGATTTTCTCAGTTATGACATTTCCCCGATTTCTAAATGCATTTCAGTGCCTTAATTTTAGATGCCCTTTTGCCCATGATTAGATTGATGTCACCTAACTTTAATGCCAGGCTTCTCATCAAAAAGTCATTTCTGTAGACCTCCTCAACAATCAGTGATGAGAGGTAGACAATTCTGTAGGATGACATATTTCACATGAAGACACAGGTCAAAGCGAAGTAAGACAAATCCCATAGTTACATAGCTACACTTGTTTAACCCTGCATAGGGAAAGTTAGGCACCAAGGAGTGGGATTCCTTAGATCCAACATGGTTAGCACAGAAACATCAATAAAACATGGTAAGGAAAAGGAATGATTTAGAACAAATGTAGCATTTTGCTATCAGTGATTAGTAGTAACAATTGATAATGCTTGTTTTGCTTCATGGTAAGTTATGTTACCTGTTGATCAGAAGTAATTAAAAAAACCCCATATTTTATAATACTGTGATGGGGTCTTTTGATACAACAGGACATCATCGCACTTAATTACAGTAAGACAAAATTTGATCCTGTGGTGTCCAAAGCACATGGATTGCAACTGTTCATTAAGCAGTATCACCTTCATATAGGTGGCAGGCTTTTGATAGGAGTCAAGTCTATCATGTAATCCTGGTAATGAGAGCTTCCTGTTACAGCAGTGTCAGCCTCCACTCAGAGTTCGTTGTTTCTGGCGTCATTGTCATGGAACTTGGTTCTGTTCTCACCTGTCTCACAAATGTGGACAACAGTTTCTGGTCTGTGCTTCTAAATGGACGAGGAGAAAGCTGCTTGCCTATGCCCATCTTCTTAGCTTTGATTAATTTGCCTAATATCATTATACATGTGGAAGATATAAGTGATCGTGTACTTGTCACATGTTATTTCTTAATGTATCCTCTGCTGCATCTCCTTATCATTTTATTTCCTCTGTCTTCAAAAGTGGAAACGTAGAAGCCTGCTTCAGGTGCTGTCCCCAGACAAGTCAGTCCTGAAAATGGCTGTGGCCAAATGCAACTATGAACCCCAAGGAAATTCAGCTATCCGGCTTGTCAGAGACAATAAATACTATGTATTGCAAGAGGAAGATTCTGACTGGTGGAAAGTAAGGGATTTGGAAGGGTAAGTATGCGCTGCAGAATACTTTTGTTCCATGACCATGGTCTTCCACATATCTCATCTTCATAGACCACACTGCAGGCAGTCCTGGTACCTTTCAGGATCTACGTTAGGATTACCTTAGTAGCTTTTAAACCTTGCTCTAGAAGCCTCATTGTCTTCTGTACAACTCCATTTTCATTACCAGCCTTGGCTGCCAAGTTGGGTAAGATTTACAACAGTCACTGCCTAGTGTACTAAGACAGTACCCAGTGGCCTTAATTCTGATATGTGCCTGAGGAAGGGCTTGTGTATACAGAAGCTGTCCATTTTTTCCAACTACTTAGTTTAAGTGAATAAAAAGATAAAATCTCTCCTCACAAATATTGCCACTCTTGTTTGCACTAAACCATTTATAGACAATCACTGTGACTACTGCAATAGCAGGGACAGCAGGGAGACCAGTCAGAACTGCTGAAGCACAAATCACTTCAGTCTCTCCCTAGCTTTAGCAATACTTTTCCAGAGAGACAGGGCACCTCAACCTGCACAGGACAGAAGAGTTTAATTGTTCTCTTTGAGGTTCACAAGTGAAGGAATCCCCTTCAGAAACTAAAAATAAGGTATTTTTCATTAATATCCAGCTGGGGCAGAAAGAAGAGTATCTTCCCAAGTTATTAAATGAGAAATAGCTTTAGAAGTACACTGGAGACAAAGGCAGTGCAACAAACAGGAGCTGCCTGGAAGAGATAAGATTCCTTGTCTGTCTCATGATGGATAGTAGCTAAATTTGATTTTATGTACTTGATAGAAACGTGGAAGGGAAGAATTTTTGAGTGAGAGGATGCCCAAACTGATTTGGAACAAAATGAAATTACTTGATCCACTCATAATTCACTGATTAAGTTTACAACTGCAAGGAAACCAACAAATAAAGCAAACTTAACTTAAGGTAAAGTGCCTGCACTTTATAACTCACAGGACTGGCATAGTGTTCTGGCTGAAGAAAGCAGCACACAACCCCAGCAATTCAAAGACAATAATAAATTAGTAAGCTGAGATATGCTCCTAAGTGCCTTCACTAGACTGTTTATGGCTATGTAAAGGCATATGATACAGGCAGCTCTGCTTATAGAGCCTGAGTAGAGGGCTCTGAGATGAATGAAGGAGGAGAGAAAGATCAAGAGAAAGGGGGACACTCACAGTTTTTTGTTTGGGTTGACAAACCGAGACTTTTGCAGTATTGATTCTGTAAAGACAAGTCACATATACATCAAAACAAAACCTTTACATTCTGCTTAAAAAAATATTGAAGATCTTGTTTTCTTGAATGTAGTAGGAACAAAACATCAGGAGTTACCTGTTTCACTGGTTTTCATTCACTCTCAGTTTTCTTCATGCTCTACTGAGATCTGTGTTGAAGAAATCCTTCCTTTCTGTATCCATCCGTATTCAAACATATAATTTATTCCCCCTATTCATTTTTCTGATGGGTACAGCATACAGCCCACCCCCTTACAACTACAGATGCCTATAGCCCCCATAACTTACGTCCAACATACCATGCTGCAGCTGCTTTAAGTGGTAGCCCAGCTGCCCATATTCACTAGCTAATGAATTCACTATTCATTAGCTTAGCTTCTCAATTGCATCTGGCATTGTGTCGGGAAGAGTGCTGAGCCTACCTATTGACTTTCTGCGTTTGACCTTGGATACTCTGCTGGCACCCATTAGTCACAGGTGTCCTTCATCACAGCAACTGAGGTGTAATGTAATGAAATTGTTGAGCAGCTGCTCCGGTATTCCATGTGATGAAGCCAATCACTGAGGAAGAAGCCATTTCAATGACTAGCAAAAAGAGTACTTCATTGAAATGCAGTTTTCTAAAGCGAATTACTTATGTATTTTTCTACATGGTAAGTAAAAGCAAAAATGTTTTAACCATGAGCATTTCTGTTAGTGGCATTCTAAAAAGTGACTCTCTGATTAATCCCTTTTCCTATTTTAAGTGACCAGATTTAAGATGCAGTCATGTATGATAGCTAAACGGTGAACTATTTATTTTACAGGAATGAAGGTTTCGTACCAAACACTTACTTGAGAAAGTTGTCTCTGAATGATGAGGAGCCAAGGTGAATCAACATGCAGCCATCCACTGCTTAAGTGTTTTCCTCACCAGTCTAGTAAAGATTAGGCAATATTTCTGGAATATTTTTCTTTTAAAACAACTTTCTGAGTAATAAGCATAAGGTTTCCTGAAACCTATAGAATTAGATATAATTTGTCTTCTTAACTCACACATTAATTCAAAAAACAACAGTTGAAAATCCTGGTTTCATTTAAATCAATAGGGGGTTGCCACTGACTTCAATGATGCTGGGATTTCAATCTTTGTACTCTTATTCCAGCATTAAATCAGCCTTGCCAGCACTCTCATGCCTTTGTAGGTATGTGAGTAGTCCTGTAAAGGGTAAAGGGAATCCAGGCCTGTCAAAGTGATACATGAGACACATCTTTTCCTTTTTAGTAAGATGACATGACACTGTAAGCATTAAATGTATGCCTAAGAAATTGAATGAAAGTCTGACAGAAACATAGCAGATTGTCTCACAGTAAACCATACTGGACAAGATTCAGAGGTTTCCTTAAAAAAAAACCAACCACCCTATTCTTACAGTATCCTATAAAAAGCAGCATAAATAAGAATCACTATTATTTCTGCATAAGAGGTTATTTTAGAGGCCTCTTTTTTTCTGCCACATGAACTCCTTCTGTTGTCAGTTATGCTAAGAACATTTATTTGGGAAGTCTAGGGTTGTGCAGTTTTGGAAATCTTCCATGTACATTTTGAAAAGGTAGATGCAATCTCTTCATAAGGTCACTAAAGGGATATGTAGTTTCATTGCCTGTTACAGCATGCAGAGAGAATATTTGGCTTTCCAACACATTGCACAGTGGAGGGGAAATGCTGTATAAGTGTTTACCAAGTCATAAAAAAAATCCAAACAATTAAACCTGTCTCAACTTTTTGAAATATTCACCTTAGACCATGGCATAACTACTCAAAAAACATATGTAGTATGACTTTTAACACAAGGAAGGTATTTTTCAGAACTAGTTTTTCTCAATTTCAGCATATTGTTTTGTCTTTGCAGGGAAAACTCCAGTGTCAGTGAACAGACGTTGGCAGAAGAGCAGAGTATTGCTAAGCATGAGTGAGTATATAGAATATGTCTTCATGAGAACCAAAAGATTCTTTGGGCAGAAATTGTCTTTCCACTTTCCATGTCCACTATACCTGGAGCAATGGTATCCTACTTATGGCTGTCATAATAGTGATAATAATTATAGATATTGTCATCAGCAACATCACTGCCCACAGACTTCCAAAGACATAAATGTATTTGTTTTCAGACAAAAAAAAAGGCATTTAGGCAAATCAGTCTAGTACGCTAGTAAAAGGATGCTTCATAAAGGTGAACTGCTATTAAAAAGGCTTCATTGGTGCTCCCTGAACTGATCTGACATAGCATGTTTGGCTTGTTTCCTCCATTTGGGATCTCTCAGTTTACTTAAATATTATGACAACCAGAAGGTTCAAGGTTAGAGGAGAATTATGCACCTCCAAGCTGTGTCATGGTCTGCAGGAGACAGACCAAACTGCTTCTGGTAGAGCTCCTGGCAGAGCATTAGAGCAGCAGGATGCTTCTCTAAGGATTTACTGTAAAAAGTCAGAGTCACAGAGTGGGACCAGATATTTCAGGAGGGGATCCACTGGATGGATGAGAGGAAGAAGATGGAAACTACAGGTTTCCCTTTTATCTGCTGGCCTAAAATCACACAGGCAGCACAAGTCCCACATCTACTCTCTGGCTTTTAAAAGCAGTTTTGAAAATATTTACTATGTCTGGCATTTTTCATGTGTCTGCTGTGCCTTATTCAGAAATCAGCCTGTGAATAATAAGCCCAATATTTCTCTTTGCAGTTGGTATGCTGCTAATATCTCCCGTGCCCAGTCTGAGCAGCTGCTCCATCAGAAGGTCCTACATATCCTTTATCGCTTGTATATGAACCACCATGGAAATGTTTCTGTGTCTGTTGTCTTTGCTATACTGTGTAGCTAGAGGATGCTGATGCTCTTCAAATAGCTGTAGTATTACAGAGTGCTAGAAACTCTTGTGCTAACTTGGTATTGATAAACAGATCTCCAAAAATGCCTGGATGTGTTAATGGCTCTTCTACATAAATGAACAAATGATCCACCTCTAAAATACTCTTGGAACAAAGACACACTGAGTGCATTTCCCCTCAAAGATCTGCTTTTTGGTTTTACCTCTAGGCCTGTGTTGTTTGCTCCAGTGTGGCTCTTTCAGTCTAGAGGAATCCTCTGTGATGGTTTTACAATATACAAATGTGGAGTAAAAGAAGTTCACCGAGACAAGCAGACAACCCTGAGCAATCTCAGTACTATGCCCACTGGGCGTTGGCTGGATGCAGCTGACTAAGAGCAAGGATGGATAGCACCATAGGACTAGTCAGGTGTACAGTTCTTTACAGCGGACGACTGCAGAAGGACTTGTCCATGTACCTTCCTGGAGGAGACCCAGCCTGAGCCGTGCTTTGCGGTTGAGTGTGCTGTATAAACGGATTTTTCTGTTGTGGCTTGCTGCTTTCTCACAGACAGTCTTATTGGTACTCCGCCATTAACAACTTTGATATAACCCAGCCCTTTGGGAGTCTTGCTCAGTGTCCTTTCCCTTAGACCTGCACCATAGGTTCAGGAATGAAATTCAAATGTGGCGAATCACTGGAGACAGGCAATTATGTCCTAGTCCCAAAAGGTGATAGATACTCCTGACTCCAGTTAACTTTAAGGGGACATGAAGTTTCCTTTGAACTTCACAGCAATGAACCTTGGCCTGTATGTGAGGTTCTAGATGGTTTCCAGGTTTCCTCCCTGCAATAGCCGTTCCTAACACATTAGAGGTGTAGCTGTTAAATGAACTCTGAAAAACAGAATGTCCATCACAGTATGGTAAACCATCAACAGAAGTAAAAGTGGAAAGTGAAAGTACTTTGGCAATAGAAAATACATGTCTAATGCATTATGTAAAGGAACAGAGTGTGGTGGATGGAGGTCTTATAATGTGTACCACCTCTGGAGAGGAGATAAGGAAGGAAATGGGGTTAACAACTCTCCATCTCCCCAGTTATAAACCTGTATATTTATACATATAAACCAAAACAAAATTGCAGACTACTTGCTTCATGTCTGGGCTGGGGTACAACTCACCTAATTTTAAACATTTACAGTGGAATACCACAACCAGTTGCCTAGACCCTCTTTGTAGTAGAGAGAAATAAATATTTCTAAGGCATAATTCATCTTGTATGAATGTAGTCCTTAAAGGATGTCAGATGAGTCACATCTCCTTCTCTCCTTTGTGGACATTACAGTGTAAAAGCCTAAAGTTCACCGAAATGAATCCCAACTTCATTGTACCTTGTAACTTTTTTTTTCTTTTTAATTAGGGGAAAGAAGGTGCTTTTATGGTTCGGAAATCTAGCCAAGCAGGAAGGTATACTGTGTCTGTGTTCAGCAAGGTTTCTGAGTGAGTATCCAAAGAATAGGTACCATTTCTATGAGCATGCTATGGGCATGCTGCTTGGTGTGACTAGTCAACAACAAAATCTCTACGTTGTGTTAAAGGTGAATCTCGGGCACATTCAGGTCATATTAGTTATTTGAATTCAACATGTCAGTGTCTCCCTGAACAGGGGAATGGAGATCCAGAATTGTCTCCTCTAAACATAGGCATGTAACAGGCATATAATCTAGGGGAACAGCGGGATCTCAGGAGTGAGGGAGAAGTAAGGCAAGGGAAAGGGGAATGGGAAGGGGAAGAGGAAAGGGAAGGTGTTCAAAATTAGATGTAGAACCATTGCAAGGGCAGTATATGAAAGTCTTTTTGCTCTAGATGTAAGTGTTGGGAGACAAGTACTAACCATCAGACTACATTGGAATATGCAGCAGAAGTCTCCAATGTGCTAGGAGCCTGTACTACATAGCCAGCAGGTGTTAAGGGGAGAAAAGCAGACTGAGGCAAATGTAACAGTCTTCCTGGTGACATCTACTCCATATTTTGTTATTTGGACAGCTGGAGTGTTGCAGTTTATTCAGCAACTAACTAATCTACTAACGCATGGACTGGAAAGCATTTTGCAAGGATTTGACATGTACTGCACTTTGTGATGTTTTTCAGAAGTAAAAAAGGAACAGTCAAACATTACCATGTGCACAAAACCCCTGAGAACAAGTATTACCTCGCTGAAAATTACTGTTTTGAATCAATTCCCAAGCTTATACACTACCATCAGCACAACTCAGCAGGTAATCCTATATGCTCTTCCTACCTGATTGGCTTTGGCTTTGGCTTAGGCTTCTGGACTTCTCAGCATTATGATGAATCTCTTCCAATACTGAATACTCTAAATATTGAAACATCTTTTGGGAGAGTTTGAATGGAACTTGATCTAACATATTCACAATCAATACAGTTGCTTTCCTTTGCTGTACAGTGCTTTTTGGTATTGCACTACCTCTTCTTGCAATACCTCTACTGAACTAACCCTTAAGCACAGAAAATTTTCAGTCTTGTGAAGTGATGCAGCAGCTGCTGAATATTGAGTATTGAATATCTGTCATTATGTGGATGGCTGTAATATGGCAGGGAGAGGGAGGTATTAGTTTCCCTGTATTTTCTTTGATTTCAGAAGACTTGTGTATATACTGTGACCTTTAACAGGCTTTCTTTGTAGGTATGGTGACAAGGCTCCGGCATGCAGTGTCTACACAAGTAAATAAAGTCCCATCCACAGCTTCATTAGGAAATGGTATGAAGATAACTTTCCTTTTTGAAACTGGTGTCAGTCTTGGCCACCAAGGAAAGAATAACCAGAAAATCATGACTCTTACTGCTTTCAGGCTTGCAGGAGCTTACAGAATCTTTGTTTGGGGGGCATTTCTGCTTGTCGATGAAGGAGGCAATGCAAGAATTCGGGAAGGACGGTCTTTCAGTCAATAGCTCCTTCTGTAGTTTCCTCTTGTCCAGTGTAGCATTGAAACTTTATGGTTCTATGAAATAGGGTATCCCTTCCTACAAGTGCATCTAGTCTACATCCAGGGCGACGTGAATGCAAAGGCATTTTATATCAACTTTTATGCTGTGCCCTTTTTAAGGCATTTTATGTCAGGTCTATATCAACTGCAAGATCTTGCATGCTTCCTTCCCCAGCACATCTGAGTTATGGCCATTCTTTCCCTTAGCCACATTACCTGGCACAGTAATACTTGTTCTCCAATCTCCTACATGAAAGTATATCATCATTTGATGCATAAATCTTTCTCAAATCTATTTATAAGGCTTAAACCTAAGCAGTAGCAAACAACACTTGTAGGAAGCGTAGTATCCTTCCATAACTCAAACACAAAGCTGAGAGACAAGTATGTTGCTTCAGTGCTGCATGGTTCTGCAACCCTCCAGAGAAAACAACAGCATTGCATGTGGGGGATACCACACTTGCATTTATCCTTTTTTTTTTTTTTTGCTAAAGGAACTTCTTTTGTCCCACTAGGAATCTGGGAGCTGAAACGAGAAGAAATTGTCCTGTTGAGAGAGCTGGGGAGTGGTCAGTTTGGAGTGGTGCATCTGGGAAAGTGGAAGGGACAATATGATGTGGCCATAAAGATGATTAAAGAGGGAGCAATGTCAGAAGATGAATTCATAGAAGAAGCTCAGACCATGATGTAAGCTGTGGCATTGCTTAATTATTTGGAAATAATGATCTCTCCAAACATTAATCAGTAATGTATAGCACTCACAGGAAAGAGAATTTCCTCTTAAAAATAGCATTAAGTAGTGTTGAGTACATTAGGCATGAGCTAAACAGGTAGCCATATAGGATATTTGAAGTATTACCAAAAGAACTTCGCAAAGATTGATATGGTCATCTACAAAGTTTTCAATTAACATCTCTTCCACACTTCAGAGGTTCCACATATGTCACTTACAACTCTGCATCATTAGCATTTATACAAAAATGGTTAGAAAGCTGTTCCTGCCATCCTGCAGGTAGGAAAGAGATCAATAACTGAGAAATGCCAGAAATATGAACATGAGACTTGAAGTTTTAGTCTCGGAGTCCAAAGAGGTAAGGATATTAGAATTTCCAGAGAAACTCCATGAGATGATAACTGAAGCATACGAATTCAAGAATATTTCATTTATATTGTATCCTGAAGGAATGCACTACATTCCTGCCAGTTAACTATCTGATATGATCAAGATTCTCAAGGTGAAAATTTTGCAACATGGTTTTAGGAGAAAACCTTAAGGTCTAAGGTCCACCCCACCAACTCAGATCTATTTTCTCTCACCAATAAGGCTGCACTTTTGCGCTGCTAAATCCTATTTCAGGTTTTGACTGAAGAGGTTGTCATTTCATCAATACTGAGTCTTCTTTTGATTATCATCAATACTGAATTTCAAAGTAATCAGCAGAAGGACACTCAGTTCTTCTTGAAAAGGAATATTTGAAGTCTGAGATGGGACTATACCCAGTGTCAATAATTTCTTTCAGTATGTTATATTAATATTTGAAGAACAAAAGTTACAGAAATGCACAAGAATCTCCATTTACTCTTTGATATTTTCATTTATTTCAGGAAATTTAATCATCCCAAACTTGTTAGACTGTACGGTGTATGCTCAAAATCATACCCCATCTATCTAGTGACGGAATACATGCCTAACGGCTGTTTGCTTGGCTACTTAAGGAGTCATGGGAAGGAACTACAACCCCTTCAGCTTCTGGAAATATGCTATGATGTTTGTGATGCTATGGCATTTCTGGAGAGCTGTCAGTTCATACATAGAGATTTGGTAAGCTATCCCACGGGAGAAGTGGAACAGGGAAGGTAGGGGGATGACCTAACACTGGGCAGTCCTCCCCCTCAGGATCACCCACAGCTGCACTGGCTCTGTTGGCACTCACCCCAGATGGCATTGTGGTCTGCTGAGCAGAGACACCCAGCTGGCTCATTACAAGGCAGCTCGGGATGAGCAGCACTAAAGCCACATGCAAACAGCACTGCCCACAAGCTAATATGCTCTGCTTCAGAGCTGAGCTGACAGGTCTACAGCACTGCATACTGTGCTGCCTGCATTTATGGGCTCTAGCCTCAGGGATTAATGCACCACTTGGCAACACAGACATGCAATTGTAACGTTACTCCACTGAAGTAAAGGGTTCTGTCCAATGATGCTCTAGTCCTCCAGAAGAAACTGGTGCAGCATTAAAGATTTGGGTCACTTAGATTGTTTTCTGATGAATTAGGGATTTATCTAATCGGGAACTATTTCTGTTATAAATCAAGTGTGAACGCTACTAGGATAAATTGGAATTTATTCTCGTGCATTGCAAGCAGGAGCAGAACTTGAAAGTCTGCAGCTACCTAGCTCTTTTAAATACATTATCTGCCAGTTTTCAAGCAAGTATTTCAGGTTGCTTTCAATGAAGGGATCAGGCCTTTCAGGGACTTGGACCGAATGTTTGTGCAAAACTTAGCTTTCAAGAATGTTGGCTTTGGGGAAATAAGCTGTTATTTTATTGGCCTACTAAAAGCGAACCTAGCCAAATTTCTGGTGCATTGTGCTTCAGAGACAGTAGCAGTATTTTGCCTTCTAACTCTAGACAAAAATATGTTGGAAGATTTGTGACAATTTGTGTTACAGACTTGCTTAATTTTCCAATAGGGGTGCAGTCTCCTCAGGTAGCGTTTTAAATGTCTTGTTGATGCTTTCAAAGAATTGTCTTTATGTGTAAACAAAGTTGTTAAATCTATACCTCAACAATTTTCACACCCTGATTCAAAAATCAGGAATAGCAGACAACTTCAGTAGCAGAATTCAAGTTGTAATTATAAAGTCAGTTTCTAGAAAACTGGCTGTGCACCGTGGGTAAACAGAAATAAAATTTAAGCTTGATTTCAGGTTGAAAACTGTAGATGCAAACTGTATCACAGAAATTAATAATCATGCAGGCAGAGAATACAGCCTTAGATAAATGCTCTCAAGTGATCATTTGCAGAACTAGGCTTATATTGAACTTTTCATAAATCAAGCTGTTTAAATCACCTTTCGTTGTTCCACTCTGTTTATAGTGCATTGCAAATAATCCAATCAATGTCTCTCACTTTTTGATGCCTTGGTAAATTCTGAGATTGCTGAAAAGGACCCTGGAGTAGGACACCATTTGAAAGACAGGGTTTAGTTTCTGGCTCTGTTGCTGTTTTTCTAGATGAATGTGGGTTTCTCACCTCTGTTTCCTCATTGCTCAGTGTCCTTATTTGTAAAGCTGGGATGATGGTAAAGAATGTTTTTCAATCAATAGTCAAAAAATGAAATAAGAGAGCTACTTACTGTTCCATTACAGTTCAAAACTTCATGGCTTCAATCAAAGAATGTCATTATTCATTGATATGCTAGAGGACAGAAATTATTATTAGCAAATTACAAAGACATGAAGTTATTTGCTGCTCTTTATATTTTTTCCACTCATCTCTTTTCTCATTTCTCTACTAAAGGCTGCTAGGAACTGTTTGGTTGACAGCAATCTTACTGTGAAAGTATCAGACTTTGGGATGACTAGGTAAGTAAAAGAACTGGGACCCTTGTGAAGCTGTCATGTTAGTGTATGTATAGTTTGCTGGCATTGATCAGCTAGCAACTGGCTGTGAGGAAAGTTAAGCCACAGGATGTGATACAGCTCTTTGTGTCTCCTTTCCATTAATGACCATAAGCTGTTATGGGGTTAGAATAAAGTCATTCTGCTGTCTCAAAAAGTTAAGGCTTAAAGGCCAGTTGCAGCTGAGAGATTTCACTAGTCATGTTTGTTAAAGAAATCTCAGAGTTTACTTTGTCTACAAGATTTTCACCTAATTTGGGGGCCAAACATCTTAATCAGCAGCCTCAATGGAGAGAAGTTGGAGAGTATGAGCAGCCTAGAAAACATGTCCTCTGAAAAGAGACTGAGAGAGCAGGCTGCTTAGTCTGGTGAAGAGGAAGCTAAGAGGGGATCTAAAAGCTGCCTAAAGCTACTTACAGTTACAAAGCTGATGGAGCCAAATAAGTCTTATCAGTGCCAGGTGATACAACAGCGGACATCAGCCACATACTGTAGCTCGGAAAGTTCAAGCTGGGCAATAAGAGAAGTTGTTTCCCCAGGAGGGTGGTGGGACAGTGAAACATGCCAGTCAGGGAGACTATGAGATTGCAGTCTTTGGAGGCTTTTAAGACTTGGCTACATGGAGCCATGACTGACCTGATCTGATGTTGGGAGTAATCCTATTTGAGCAGGAGACTGGGCTAGATGGCCTTACAACAGGCATTTCTATGATTCCGCATTATTTCTCTAATAAGGTGATAGCAATGATCTATTCTGTAGATTATAGCTAATGCCTCTATCAGGTATACTTTGGAAATTTGGGATTCTGCCTAGGCTTTTCTTAGGAACCTTGTGATGTACAAGGAAGAAGCAGTAAATAGTATTTCTCTGTAACTCGGTCACAACCACGTTTGGTTCTTGCCTTGTAGGTACGTTCTGGATGACCTGTATATAAGTTCACTAGGAACCAAGTTTCCAGTGAAGTGGTCAGCACCAGAAGTTTTTCATTACACCAAATTTAGCAGCAAGTCAGATGTATGGGCTTTTGGTATGTATGGAATTTGACATATAAATACGTATGCATGTATGCCATTACATTTGGATTTCCTCACTTTACTAAGCAGAAATGCTAGACATTTACACACTGAAGTAATGTCAAAAGTAGTTACAGCTTATGTTCTTGTTTAATATTTTGTATGCACCCAAGCCCTATCCTCTTTGGATTTTTTTAGCCCTACTGTTTTTCTTTAAGGCACATAGAAACTCTGCCTGCTCCCCATTTGCTATATATGTGTTTAATGTGGTAAACTGTTGGCAGTGGGGATCAAATGGTATCTTTGGCAAATCTAGACCATAAATCAGTGCTGCCCAAGTCAAAAGAGCTTTTCTGTTTGTTGCAGAGGTCAAAGCTGACTCTGTGCATAAGCCAGCTGTGGAAGAGAGTCTGTGTGAGCTGGGCCTCTTTATCTCAGCAAAAATAAGATGCATTTGCAGATCACTTTCTATCCAGGAATTTCAAACATTTGAACTTTACTTCAGTGGTTTTCAAGCTATTATTTACAAATCCCTGGAGTCTGTTCAGTGTTTCTAAAAGTCTGCAAAAGGTGTCAAAGGAAAGGGAGCCTTTTGTGAACAGGCTTAAATTCCACTTACATGGGTTTGCTCCTCCAGTAGGAAAATTTTGGCAGCTGTCAAGTTGATGAAAGACTGGCAACCCACTGTTCTTGACATTGAACAATGGTGAATAAAACAGATGAAAGTGTTTCCCAATGCTGGGCTTCTTGTTATATTTAACTTCAGCTAGTCTCCCAATGTTAATTACTCTGGCAGAGAAAGCTCATTCATGGCCTTCACAAGCTGTTTATAATATACATGATTAAATCAGAAGTTGGATTTTCTGGTGATACATTTTCTTTTTGCTCTTATCGATGAAATCCTGGCTCCAGGCTTTATTGTCATTAACTTCAATATTGGCATTAACTTCAGTGAGAAACGTTATTTTTCCTTAGAAGGTCTTTTCTCATTTTAACACTATCCATTGATGTAGTGGAAGTAAGGGGAGAGCAGGACCCATCGGTTCTTGTTTGGTTGTTTTTAACTAATGAGTCTTTAAAGGGCTAAAGAACTGAACTGATGTATTCATATCCCAAAAGCAGATGTCAGAGAACAAATAATCTTGTTTTTTTAATGTTCTCATCAGGGAAAGCTGGGATTCAGGTACCATTTTATTCTGATCCCACTGTGACACTACAATGCTCCAGTCTTCAAGCTGGAAGGAAGTCAAAGATCCAATAAATTTCTTTAAAAAAAAAAAAATCTTTACTGCCAGTATCTTTACTACCAATATTTCACTTTTTTTTTTTTTTGCTTTATGGTTGGCATGATTATGACACATGTTCAGTTGCAACAAAAATTGTTTCTTGCAAAGCTATCATTATGAATTAATCATTATGATATTATCCAGTGTTTCTATTGCTTCAGTATAATCCAGTTTTTATAGGTACATGTAGCTGACACTATAAAGTATTCGGAAATCTTTCTGATACCAAAGGAGTATATGTCCCACTCACTTAAAAAAAACAGCAAGAATTTTCTTATTATTCTATAAAACATAGATACTATAGCTGTCATTTTGTTTTTCCTTCCCTCTCTCTGTGTACACACACATACATATATAAAGGAATGTTTGTATGTATTTTCTAAAAAATTCAGTCCATGGATAGCTATGTCTTAGGTTTTCTCCATCATTGTCCACATTAAATATATTTTTAACTAACTTTAACATCTAACTTTACCTTCTTCTGAAGTAGAAGTTGTTTTACATCTGGGTACAGAATCACGCTTGGCAGTCATCTCCATACTGTTCTTTGGACAATGTCTGTAAAGAGTCTGATCAGTTATATGTTACATGTGTGTCTTGTTCCGGGAAAAAGGGGTTATCTTGCATTTCTTAACTTTCATTTCTTGTCTTCCATTGCCGTGAATATTTTTGCAGGTATCTTAATGTGGGAGGTGTTCACTTTGGGAAAGCAGCCCTATGAGCTTTATGATAACATGCAGGTGATTGAGAAAGTTTCTCAAGGATACAGACTTTATAGACCTCAATTGGTTTCAGACATCATCTACCAGATAATGTACAACTGCTGGCATGAGGTGTGTATATCTGCACATAGAAACTGGAGAAAACAAAATAATAGGAGTCACTAGGACTCCCTGTTGATAGCTGAACTAATGTTCATAGTGGAAAATATCCCTTATAAAACCCATTGCTTGTATGTAGTATGTTCTATATAGCAGTCTAGTCCAGGACATTGTTAGTACAGGAAACAGGGCATAAAGGAAGATTGGCTCCCTTCTTTTCAGAACCATGTATTTAAGCAAATAACAGTAAAATACCCTTCAACATTAACATAATATACAGGATGAGGTTCTTCTCACCTAATTTTAATCGTTTAAAATTTGGGTGCTGAGCTAAGCTAATTGCCTAAATTTCTTCCATGATTACAGGACCATTTCTGGTACCTCTCCATGGTCATTTGTCCTTTCCATCTTAGCCAGCACAGAATAAAAGATATGTGCTTTCCTATACAGAGATCTTAAACAGCAAATGTAGATGGGGCCTCTACCTCTACCTTTTTAGACAGATAAAGTTGTGTGAAATAACCCCACCCTTAGAATGAGAAGGATGTATTACCCCATCTGTGAGTCTTCTAGGAGTTGTAAGTCAAATGCTGATCATGCTCATTTTATTTTGAGAGGTCTGCATTTTCTGTGCCAAGAATTATCCTGATTTATTGTTCCTCTTCATCTAAATTTTAGTCAGCTGTCTGTGGACCGTGACTTGTTTCTCACCAGGAACAGAGAGTGATGTTTTGGTTTCTTTTTTTTAATACAGTTGTCAGAAAAATGAGAAAAATAACTTATATTTGAAGACATGTTAATGCAAAGAAAGAATATTAAACTATCACAACATAAAATAGATATAAAAAGTAACTTTAATTTTCTTTACCTCATAATCATCACTGTCTCTATGAATTTCTGCATGCTAAAATCAAGAAAAATTAATGCAAATTACAGTTCCTGAATTATTTCAAAATTAAATAACCATACCCATCATATTTGCTTCATTTAGCTACCAGAAAAGCGCCCTGCTTTTTATCAGCTCTTAGCATTTTTTGAGGCACTGAGAGAAGACAACAGTGCTTGAAAAAGAAGATACAGAAACAGATGACTGTGCATACTGGTGCCATATCACCTGTCTTCTGTACAAGAGCTAAATCTGAAATCTGCCTGATGTTAGCCGCCCCTATTATTCTCTGTACTAGCGTTCTCATTTAATCAGGGAGTTGACCAAGAAGCGTATGGAGAAAGCTTTGGTGACACTCTGTGGGTGACAGAATTTGGAAGGATACTGTGGAAGAATACAATTCATTTTGTTAGCATTGTCTCAAAGGACTTCTCAGACACTGAGATATATATACCAATTGTCTACACTCCTTCAGTGCTTCCAAGCTGTCATTATTTGGCCTTAAATGGAAATGTAAACTGGGAAATATATGCTTGTTGGGTTTTCTGATTATCATAATTCATCTGAATGTGTGTTTTCTTTGTAATCACTTGAAGCTGACACCTGAAAATAAATTTAGAATTGCTGCAAGTGACAGCAGCATAAATTGTTATAGTCTCACTTTCAGTTACTTAGAAATTACTACTGGTAAAATATTATATCAGTTTGCTTACCAGTATTGTTGACTTTAGTTTCGGCCCTCAGGGTGTACATTTGATTTGGAATTAATTCTAAGCTACCTATCTAACATATTTGCAACTTAGCAACATATGAGGTGTTTACTAGAGTGTTATTGCTTCTTGCTACAGGTAAAAATAGAGAAAAAAAGTTTTATGCAGAATTCCATAGTCATTGCAACAGTAAATGGTAAATTTGCTGATCTCTATAAAACCTGAAGAGCAAAAATTTGAAGAGAACTGAAAATGCTATTAATATAATTGCTTAGCCAACTATTTTACTACTGAGGAGCTGAAATTTGGCTCCTGATGTTAACACTTAAATAAGAGCACCCAACTTTCAAATGTGCATAGCACTACACAAATTAGTGCTAACTTCAGTAAGTCTAGAGGTACCAAATACAGCTGAAGCTACATAACCATAACGGAGGCGTCTAAACTTAGACACTGACATTTGTAAAATGCTGATCTAATGTGTATAAAATAAAGGGGGTTTAAAATAAAGTAAGGTCTGAAAAAATCCTCTCCTCTCTCCTTATGTTTGTGCTAGTTCAGTGTGTGATGCCTCTAAGAGTCCAAGTGCCATCTGCTTGCCCTTTCCCTGGTGGAGCTGGCCCAGCCCTAGTAGGGACCCCTCTGCAGCTCCAGTTTGAGCTCACCTGATCGAAGGAGTAAGAAATGCAGGGTGCAGACATGTGGGAGAGGGGAGAAAATAATGGTCTCTGGCCAGCCAGAGGCTCCAGCGCCTGTGCTTGCCGGCGTTGCCAGGTCCCAGCACTGGAAGCTGGCTAGCAGAGCACATCCCTGTCTACGTGGGGAGCTGTGTGCGTGTTTGGGGGAAGGCAGCATTTGGGGGCATGCAAATGACTGTGGGGATCTACACAGGCCTGGGGGGCATGGAAAGCTGCGCATGAGGGAGAGGTAGGGCATGGTATGATGTTGCCTGTGCATCAAGCTGGGCCAAGGAGGGCTGACCCAGAGAAAGGGTCAGGAAGAGGAGTGCTGACACAGATGAAATAGGAGAGGAGGGTGGGTGTGCAGTATTGTTGGGGCTAATGCATGCGGTTGATTTTTTTTAATATAAACATTGTCTTTTTATTTCTGTTCTTCCAACATCCTGCTATATTTTCTTAGCGGCTTTATGTGTTGACAATTCTGAATGGTGTTTTTTGATTCATAGCACAGCTTTTAAAATTAATTGCTTTGAAATGAAAGCTTTGCCTTAATGGAAAATTTAATCTTAACAACAGATCTGAAGATGGCTGGCATGACTAATTACATTATTTGATTGTTTCCAGCTTTGCCATTCCCTTTTTCTGTTACTGCACGGTAAGTGGGAAGACGACATAAAGTTGAAGTATTTATCTTAAAAGTTCAGTTAAAGTACTAAGGTTTGGGGATGTTATGGCAATGGGCTATGTGGTGTAAGTAGGCAACTTAAAGAAAAATTATTTTCATTCCTTTACATTGCTGTCTAGTTTGCAGTTAATCAGTATCATCTGCCTACCATTTTGAACTGTCTCATTCAAGGGTCTTTTAAATAGGAAATGATTGTGGAGCGTTAGGGTAGTGTTTTGTGAGCCCACAGAGTCCACTGCTTTCTGCAGTTTCTGACAGTTTTGGAGGCCCATGAGTTTAAGAGTCCGTGCATTTGCTGGAGGTTTTTCATGTAGGCTCGTGTTTGCTACTGGCTCTTTGTCAGGACACCTTATGCCTTTCAGTGACCCCGGTGTGTACAGCACAACTGCACTGGCATGGTGGCAGGTATGGCATGGGACCTATAAGACACAGAATCACAGAAATGCTGCTGAAAGGGACCTCTGGAGGTCATCTAGCCAAACTTCTCACTCAGAGTGGGACTGTCCCCACTGCTCGATCAGCCATACCTTTGTCTATGTCTACCTGAGCTCTGAACACTTCTAAAGGTGGAGATCCCACAGCCTCTTGCAGAGCATGGAATAGGCAACCTGTTCCAGTGCTGCACTACCTTCCTTGTGAACCACTTTTCTTTTTCGGGTGGAACCTGAACCTCCCAAGCCTCAATCTACTGCCCCCTGTATGTAACAGTGCAATTTGTATTTGTAGCATGGAGTATTTGTAATGCAGTATTTGTAATAGTAGAGGCAATGGCTAAGGTACTGAAAAAAAAATTTTTTTTTGACCATTTAGTATTAAGGAAGTTTATTCCATTTTTAGATTACAACATAACATAGAGATTTTTTTAATTTTTTTTTTTTTTTGAGGGAGCATGGGCTGTTTGATCTCTACAATATTTATGAAGCAAACAGTTAGAAAAATAACTTATGTTACAACTTCCTAACAAAGTTCCAGTGCTTGTTAGTCTTCATCCAGTATCCATTTTACATTGATAAAGATTTCCTGAAGGTGCAAAAATTGCAGTTATTTCACATCAAATTGAGTTCTTCATCACTAAGGTTCTTCTGGTGGTCAGGTTTTTTTTCTCACTGTCTCTTAGATACACTTTTGAGGTCTCCATCTGGAAAGATCAAGATGTTCCTCATGGGCATTAGGAGTATGTGAGTTATTCTTATGTCTGTCTTGATCTGTATACAACTGTATACTTCCAAGCTTTTCTATCTCATTACAGAGGAAACAAAGAGAAGCTGGATGCAGCACACTTATGAAAAGCAGCACAAATAGTGTGTAATAGTATGCACAAAATTCATAGAAAAGCCACAGAACATATACATCTTCAATTTTTGCATGTTTTCTAGTTACCACATAAACAGCAGATTTAGTTGCTGTTGTCTGTGAACCAGTAGGTTAATGGTCAACCAGAAGACTTTATGTTTGATAACATCCATAGTGTATTGGTCCTTGCTAGGCACTATTGTTGAAAGTGAAATGAAAAAAACCAGAAAGCCTTAGTGTACCCACATCTTCTAGAATGAAGTTTGTATCTCTTCAGATGGTTCAAAACCCATGTTGCTTTTTCCGTCTTCATTGTAAGGGTTCACCTCTTCACAGTTTGATCCCGCTTCACTCCTACTTTGTCTTGCTCTCCTGTAATGAAAATTCATTTTATATTATTAGCCCCTGTTCTGTTCAAGTCCTTCTGGATCCCCAGAATCCCCTACTGTAAATAATACTGTGTTTAACTGGGAATAATTATATAAAAGGAATTGTGTTGGTTTTAAGGGGAACTGTAGCAAACCCTCTACGTTCTTAGAAATGCCATTAATGGAGAGACATAGAAAACCAACCCAGCTATACTGCCGTTAATGCAATAATATTTCAGGAAAATTACATTACTGGACAGCCTCCAACAAGATTATTGAAAACTGCAGGTGCTGATGAATGTGGGCAACTCTGCTGTTGGAGAAGGCACTGTGTTCCTAGCAGGCCACTCCACCCACCTTGCAGCGGGACTGGCAGAAGCCTGGCCATGCCACAGCTCCCTGCAGCCACAACGGCCAGCTGCCTTGGTTAAACTGCTGATGATGGGGAAATTGCACTAAGCTGCCAAAGCTGCTGTGCACTGAAAGGCAGGGAGCCAAACCTTTAGCTATCACTGTTAATGGGAGGGGGACAATAAGCTTTAATTCCTTAACTTGCTTCAGTTAGATTTGGCAGCCTATTTGTACATGCCCTGATGATTCAATCACCTCCCAATGGTCAGGATCATAGTATCAAAAATATTACTCACTTTTTGCGATCTCTCTGCCCAGTGATGATCAAGACAACAACCCCAATGACAACCAGGCTAATGACCACCCCAAATATAATTAACCAGATGGTGACTGGCGGTTCATAAGGTGTGGCCAGGGTTGGAAGTATGCCCACAAACTCCAGCGTGTTATCATCCAGTCTGAAAGCCTCATTGATTCGTCCCCGAGACATCCTGCCATCAAGAGCAAATTCAAAGAGTTTCACACGTTTATTGGAAGGAAATAAACAGTTTTCAGTTGTTTTATAAATCTCCAGTGTGTCAAGCTTCCCCTGAACTGCTCAGTTGAAAAGGCTACCCAGGAGTTACTGCTAAACCCATATTCCTTCTGGCATGGGGTGGTGAGTGACAGCTACATTAACTTAAGCCCTTAACCTGTTGCAGCTTAACTGACATGTTCAGACACTGTATGAACACAGTCTTAACATTTATCAAAATGAGGCAAACAGCCTTCTGATCTCCCTCTCTATTTGCATTTTGACCTTCATTCTCTTTACCCTAAGTTTCTTGGCTATCCATAAGTTTCTTGGATATGTGACAGAAAACCACAGCTTTGACATCTTCCTACCTGTTTCCCTCCTACAGTCTTCCATAGTTTTGATTCTTGTGTTTTCCACTGCCCTGAAAACCCTTTCCCTAGCGTATTTTCTGTGCCTTGTTTTTCCCTGAACTTTTGCTTCTGCTATTGAGTGCTAACCAGACAGTGACTTTCATAACCATACTCTTCTTCCTTGGTTCAACAACTTATCTCACTGCTTTTTCAAACCCATCTCATA